CAGTGACCTCTTCAGGAAGGTGTCAATGTCTGCACTCCTAGGAATCTGTGGAATGGAGAGACTGGGCAGGAGGCCTCAGAACAACTCCCCCTCCACCCTCCAGAAGCCCACCCCTAGAAGACCAAACCATGGCCATAACACCTTGCAGAAGAGCTCCCTGAAGCTGGCTGGGCTCAGGTGGCATCATCCATATGCTCAGTGATACTGTGCCCTCTAAGTCCCCAAAACCAGTCTCCCTGGTGGTGGGAGAGAGAGGTTCCTATGTCCAAGTGCAAAACTGAGAAATGAGGGAGGCAGAGAACTGCTGAAAATGAACCAGATAGCAGCCATCCAGTTCCCACCCACGGATACAAACACACACGCTCACGGATCAACATTGTCCCCTCGCTGTTGAGCCATGATTCGGCAGTTAGCTGTTCTTACTCTATTCCTACTCTTGATGGTAGCGTACAGTTCCCTCATCGTGTCAAGACTTTCCAAAAAATCATGATATAACCAACCCGAAAATCATCCTCTGGATCCAAGACCAATGTTACTGAGCAAACCAAAAGAAAAGGCCAGCTACAGTGCTTTGATCATTCTGCGCCAAAGAGGAAACTGATCCCTTTACTGTTTATGATGTACATATGTTGTGTACATGTATCATTCTTGGGTACAGTACAGCAAAATGCTTACCTGAACTTAGGATGCTCTGATTGAATTAAGCAAAGGGAATCTTTTTTTAAATATTTGGGGGCCTGACAAGTTCATCACCCGGAATTTAGAAATATAGTTAAATTATAAAATCTGCACATTATGGATCAGGAGCATAAGGTCTCCTGAAAGAAAGAGAGGAACTGTTAGACCAGAGCAGGACTTTGGAGTGTGAGACCCCAAAATGAGAAAGAACTGTTCCATGGAGAGGGGCCTGGTGGGCCACAGAAGCATGAAACGGTTGAAGGCAAAGAGTCATGCACTGGCATGCCAGTGTCCATCCTAGGACCAACCAGGGGAAGAAGGATTTTTAGGTATTAGGCCTCCATTCCTCCAGGAACAATGGACAGGCTCTCCCTATGTGGAGCAAGTGAGCGGAATGTTTGCACTTAGTTCTTTGATGGCAGGACATAGTGCACCATGGCCAGGAGAAGAGAATGAAGTTGAGAACCGATTGAGTAGAGAACTTACGGTTGATAGTGGAGGGCAGCCACCCAGGGCCACCCAGACTTGCAGCTGGAAGTCAGGGGAAGAGCACCCTCAGGCTGTAGGGGCAGCTTACATATGGCCAGCAGCCGGGGTTAGCTGGTTTCCCAGGCTCCCTGTGGATTAGCGAATTTGAATAATTTCACAGGTTCCAGGGCATAAGGGCTGTCACTCGTTGTCTGGTACCTGGCCCCAAAAGCAGGTAGGGCTGGGGCTGGTGTGTCATGGCCTGGACTGTAAGAGTCTGTGGGGAAGTGGTTGAGGTGTTGACTTAACCAGTTGCTTAAGGGGAACTGACTGGCCTCTAGCTAGAGTTTCAAAACTGAGTCAAGACACCTCTTAAAAAATAAATTAAAGGGGTGCCTGGGTGGCTCAGTTGGCCAAGCATCTGCCTTCGGCTTAGGTCATGATCCCGGGGTCCTGGGATCGAGTTCCCCATCGGGGTTCCTGCTCGGCGGGGAATCTGCTTCTCCCTCTCCCACTCCCCCTGCTTGTGTTTCTCTTGCTGTGTCTCTCTCTGTCAAATAAATAAAATCTTTTAAAAATTAATTAAATTAAAAACATGGTATTACCCAGAGTGGTTTTATCTTGCTTGCCTACTCGGATTCACAGGCCTGGGCCCCATGAGTTGCAGGTGCCATGGAACAAGTGCCGAGATTGATGGGTGATGCGGGGCAAGGGGCAGGACAAACCCCACAGGCCACGGGTTTACTGACCGAGATGTCAGAGCATTGCTGTCTTGGATTCAAGTGCTGCCTGGGGCACGATCCTGCCTGCAGTGAAAAAGAGACATTAGCTGTCTCCACCAGATGATTAGAGTAGTTGGCTAATATCAAGCGTCTACCCTTATGCTTTATAACTGCATCCCATCTATTCTCTTCATAGCCCTTATGATAATTTGCAATTATATATTCATCAGAAATACAGATTATCTTCTTATTATTATTTATATTATTAAACGTTGTGTTATATATTTGCTTATTTGTATCCATCTTTCTCACTAGAACATTAACTCCAGTGAGGACGTTATTCTCCAAAGAATACCCAGAATCGGCAATCTGGAATATTTGTTGAATGAGTTGGTAAACAAAAAAAAAGGAATAAATAGTTGAATGTAACTCTCCTCCCTCACTAAGCAATTTTCTGGTCTTGGCAGTGTTCTTTTATAGGATAAGACAATCCCCATCACACTGTCAAGAAGGTGTCTGGTATTGATCATAAAATTTTAGTTTGTGTTCCAGTGAGTGCCTCATTCTTATATGTGGTTTAGTTACCATGGGCCATATGCTCAGGGACAGCCCACCTTTGGCCATGGTAAAGAATGAGTCTCTATCTAGACTGTAAAACCAGCAGTTGGATCCAGGCAGCATCCTTTTTCACTCTTAGGAAAAGGTGCCTCCCCCCACCTCCAGCTTTATTTCTTACTTCCCGTTTCTACCAAGCCATCAGCAAAGTCATTGGACTTGATGCTAACACACGGTTTCTTTAGTTTATTAGGTTAAGTAAAATCTGCTGGAGCTAGAAAGTTTTTTCTACATCAGCTTTCATCCTTGTTGCTTAATTAAATCCCTCACCTGTGAAAAGAGTGATTTTCAGCCATCTTGCTTTCTGTGGCATCAGCACGGAACTGTGACTGTTGAAATACCAAAATGCCACTCGTGTTTAATGCTTCAGGTGCAACAAGCCTGTTCTATTTGGAATCCCCTACAAAGATAGATATTAACTGAGAATTGAAAATGACAGCAAAAGAGATTGAATCAGAACGGCAAAATGAGCCCACGGATCTACTTCCTCTCTTGCTCCAATTCCTTAAAATATCAGAAAATATATTTTTTTAAGAATACCTCCATAACAGTACTAGAAAACAAGAAATAATAGTATCCAAGACCCCAAAATTGTGAGAAGTTCATGGCAAACTACAGCAAATAGGGGCACATTCAAGGAGACACTGAACTTATAGCAAATTCATTGAAGAACATGAGGGTGTCTCTGGTGGCTTGATTGCATGAATGACCCAAATTCTTCACCCTTTCCTGTACCATGCCATTTGCCATGGGACTTTACAGTTCCTGTCACCGCATAGGTGGAGCCCCTGTCCCATCCCTTGAGTCTGACTGGCCTCATGACATGCTTTGCCCAATAAAATGAGGCAGAAGTGACAATGTATCAATTCCGACCCTGGCCTTGGAGGCCTTATGTGTTTTGCATGTTTCCATTTGCTGCTTTTAAAATTCTGGCATTGCCATGAATGTGCGAATTAGACTTCTAGGGTATGAGAAGCAGGAAATATGGCAAAGTCTCCCCAGTCATCCCAGCCAACAGCCAGCCAACACCCAGGCATGTGAGTGAGCCATTGTTTTGTGGCTGTCTGTTACACAGCATTATCATAGCAATATATGACTGATACAGACTCCCAGCTGTGTTCGTGACACCACATTACTGCTTATAATGAGCACTAGGCAGCAATGGTGTTTGACTCCAGAATCAAAGGAACACCTAAACTCAGAAGAAAGGGAACCCCTGCCTAAGGGAGGGCTCCTGTGTGAGCACAGAAGTCTGAGAAAGACAAAGAGCTGTGTTTCAATAACTCTAGACCCCAGACCATCTAGAGAGCAGGGGGAGGGAAGGAAAAGGCAGCTGTACTTAACAGGAGAGTAAACTGACCTCTCCCTCACCAAGGTTAAGAGAGAGCCCTGCCCTGTTTTAGCCATTGGAGTATGGTAGGAGGCTCCAGGCTGCTTGCCTGCTACATTTTCAAGCATCTAAAAATGAGATGCCCCAATCGACCCACCCTGCTCTCTTAAGCAGAGCCTGAAAGTAGTCCTTGTACTTGGGAGAAAGACACAGTGCAGAAGCAGATGCATGTAATAGCAGAGAAGCTCGCCCAGCTGTCCACACCCATCTACCTCTGTGTTCAGCCATTAATGTAAAGAAACGACCAAGAAATACAGATGTTGAAGAAAATTCCTTGACAAGAAGGAGAAGCGATAAAGAGGAGGCCAACCAATTCTAGAGGAAACAAAGAATTCAATAAACGAAAGAAATATTGTTTTAGGGCACTTGGGTGGCTCAGAGGGTTAAGCGTCTGCCTTCAGCTCAGGTCATGATCCCAGGGTCCTAGGATCGGGTCCCGCATCAGGCTCCCTGCTCCTTGGGAGCCTGCTTCTCCCTCTGCCTCTCTCTCTCTCTCTCTCTCTCTCTCTGTGTCCCTCATGAATAAATAAATATAATCTTAAAAAAAAGAAATATTGTTTTAAAAACATAATAATATCCTCAGCCAGATCTATTATAATATGACATCCATAACAGAAAGTGGCAAATATGAATAGGAAGCTTCCAGAAATAATAAAGAACCCTTCTCTATATGTAAAAATAAAGCTCATATTGAGGCAACTGTGTGGTTCAGTCAGTTAAGCACCTGACTCTTGATTTCAGCTCAGATCATGATCTCATGGTTATGGGATCGAGCCCCGAGTCAGGCTCTGTGCTCAGCATGGAGTCTGCTTGAGATTCTCTCTTTCCCTCTGTGTCTGCCTCTTCCCCTATGCTCACTCTCTCTCTCAAAATAAAGAAAAACTTTCAAAAAATAAAGCTAGTATTATTTTTTAAAATACAGCGTGGAAATAATACTTGTTTTGAATGTATAACAAAACTATTTTCATGGGTGGGAAGAACTGAGAAAAAGTCATGTTTATTTTACTTCTATTTATTTTAGGATTATTTGTATAAATGAAAAACTATTACTTGTGACTCTGAAGTGTCATCTTTTTCTCTCCCCCCTCCCCACCTTCCCCACTTAACCCGTTCATTCTTCATTATAGGCCAGGAGACATGATTACTCTTCTAGAAGACACCAATGAAGACTGGTGGAAAGTAAGTATTTCTCTTTCTTTAAAAAAAAAAAAAAAGAAGAATCCCTTGGTAACTGTAATTACAACAAATGCTACAATTGTGGATGCATGCCTCCTTTTTCCTTTCAGGGGAAAATTCAAGACAGGATTGGCTTCTTTCCAGCCAACTTTGTTCAGAGAGTACAACAAAATGAGAAGATTTTTAGATGTGTTAGGACCTTCCTTGGGTGTAAAGAACAGGGGCAGATGACGCTGAAAGAGAATCAGGTGAGTAAAGCATGCAAGCACATACCAGGTACGACCAAAACAGAGAAACAATCACTAATAAACATAACAATACACATAAATCTGAATGAATGGGGTCATATTCAAAGTATTCACTTTGAGAAAAGATAATACTCACTCTGGTGGTATTATGTAGTGTAGTAGAATCTAAACCTGCAAAGCCAGAATGTTAGGAAGCTCCTTTGGTGGTATCTGTTCACAAGAGGAAATGTACATAATGTTATAGCAGTAGGGTAAGGACATCTGTCTGGTCCTGGTCCTTTTCTCTGAGGACCGCTGGTCTCTGATGTGGACAGCTACTCCAGTTTGGGCTCTGTGCTGTTCTCCACCAATGCGTGGTTAATTTTTCATAGTTTCTTGGGAATACTTTGTTGTTACTTGCTGAGGATTCCACAGTTCATTGCATTTGCCTCCAGTCACAAAGGCCCTTCTAAGTAAGGTCTCCTCGTCCAGACTCTAAGCTTCTGCCTTTTCACTGGAATCCAAGACACCTTCACATTGCTGCATAAAACATAGTCAGGACCTAAGGAACCAGGGACTGCCTCACACCAGTGCCCAGATGTCTCCGTACATCTAATCTAGAGGTGTCTGGCGCCATCTTGCTCTAGTGGCATGTTGAATGTGAGGTTCAGCATGCAATGGCAAATAAATGACACTGTCAATTTCCTGAGAGGTGAGGTATGAACCCCTTGCACATGTATGTCTTCAAGCTCCATGCTTCTTGCTCCCCCATCTCACTCCTGGAATATTGACAGACACAAAAGGACAAGACACACGGTCAGCTCTTTGTCCTAACTCTGCCTCTCTTTGCCTTCTTTCAGCAGAGAGAGGGCTTCCTACTGCCCCTTCTTCTCTGACTCCAACTTCCTCATGTCAGATCCTAGATCCTCACTATAAGGTATAATAATACTCTAAGACCTCCACGTTTGCTCTTGGTGTCTCTGGGGATGATTTGAGAAATCAGACATTAGAAATTTCTTCGGTCTCCTTATAAAGTCTCACAATTAACTCTGATTTCCAATTTTGGAAGCCAAAGCCTTGACTTTCTTTCTGTCTCCACTTTTGGTTTGATAATTCTAATACTTCCTAAGGCAATTAATGCCTCTGGTTGGAAATGGTGAGGTTCACCCTACAAAGAGGTACAAAATGAAAAACGTATTAATAATTTTAATACTATCCCAGGGCGCCTGGGTGGCTCAATAGGTTAAGCTTCTGCCTTCGGCTCAGGTCATGATCTCAGAGTCCTGGAAAAGAGCCCCACATCAGCCTCCCTGCTCAGCAGGGAGTCTGCTTCTCCCTCTGACCCTCAGATAAATAAATAAAATCTTTAAAAAATGATAATAATAATTTTAATACTATCCCTGTTCAATAGCCTTGCCCAAAACACATCTTAAATGTCATTTTTGTAATTGCCTACAAAGATAGTTTCTAAGTCCCATAAGACTTTATATTACTTTATATTTACATTACTTCATATCTGATTTATAATCTTTAAGTACTGGTTTACCTAACCGATCAACAATTTTATATGCCACATGGAGTGCCAAATGCTTGATCATCTTCAAACTAACAAGTACACCCCCAAAGAATAATGATTTACCTTCTCTTTATGGCTATTTAAAAGAAAATTCTTTATATCTAGCCCCTGATTCACAGAGAGGAACAAATTAATACAGTCCTAGACATTGCCACAGTGATAATTATTAAAAGTATCATCATTATTATTACTTACTATTTATGTCATACATATATATTTATAAAGCATATATACCTATGATATTTTACTTGAGATCCCACACATGCCCTAGGAATTTTATTGATTAATTATTCACTATTTATATTTTATAAATGACGAAACAAAGGCTCATAGATGTTATATGCCTTACTCGAAGGGGCAAAAACCTGGTAAGTAGCCAGGCTGGAACTTCCTTTTTTTTTTAAGATTTTATTTATTTATTAGAGAAAGAGAGAAAGAGAATGAGCAGGAGGGAAATGAAGAAGTAGGCTCCCCGCTGAGCAGGGAGCCTGACATGGGGCTCTATCCCAGCACCCTGGGATAAATTAAGCAGACGCTTAATTTTTCATAGTTTCTTGGGAATACTTTGTTGTTACTTGCTGAGGATTCCACAGTTCATTACCTACTGGGCCACCCCGGCGCCCTGAGGCTAGAACTTAAACATAGGTCTGCAAACTCCAAGCCAGTGCTTTCCACTGAGCCATGTGCCCTGGACAATGTGGAACCAGCTTTGAGCAGTACAGCATCATTTGCATAGGTTGGCTCCCAGGAAGGCAAATGTTATAAAGGCAAGTATCTTAGGACCAGAGAGCCCCTTGGGAATAAATTCTTGCTTCTATAAGTGCCCTACTGGGTCATCCTTGGATCCAGGCAATGGAATCATCCTCGTCAGATGGAGACCACATCTCTAATGCCACACACATACCCCACACAGCAAACAGGCACTTTTCCCATGCCAGTGCTTCTCCAATTGTACTCAACTATATCTTCCCCGTTCCAAAAACTTGGAAGGTCTTTTGAATGAAATAAATTCAAGAACGATATCCATCTTTATTGGCAAAGTGTTATTAAAAATTTTGCTAGCATGTTTGATTTTTTTCCTCAGAATAATCTTGTGCTTCCCCACTTGAAACTGAACATTGTTTTATGTTGTTAATATACAAGTCAGTGAAATCAGAGGCAAATTAAAATTTGCTCAACTTGATCAATTTCTAGAAGCAGAACATCCACTCAGTGACTCTTACCAATTCCTTGGCTGTAGTCCCCAAAATGGTCTTTTCTGTGAATGGGCTCCCACCTGCCTTTTCCACTCTCATGGTTGAACTACCATCTTCCAGGATGGGGCTGGGTAGGGGAGAGGCAAACAATCCAACCTCTTCAATTAGACATGTTCAAGACACAACACAGTATGACAGCCTAAACCAGGAACCAAATGGATCTGCCCATAATCCTTTAAAAAAGTTCCATAAGCCCTGATATTTCTGAGAGTGTGGTTTGGACCATCTGAATCATAATCACCTGGGAGCTTGTTGAAAACTGGATTCCACCCCAGACCTGCAGAAGCAGAACTTCTCAGGGAAAAAGCAGGGAATCTTTCTCTTTATAAACTCCCCAGGATCAAAGCTGAAGTTTGAGAATGACCTTCACTTCCATTCTTTCACTTTTAAGTCCTATAGTAGTCCTGTGACAACTGAAGGCACGTTTATGTCCAGTTACATATGGATCAACAAAAGGCACTGAGGTCCCTAGCCCTACACAAATTCTCTATTTTCAATCTTTGGCATCAACGTGGCAACCAATTTTGGAAAAATGTCAGCCACTTGAAAGAAAATGTGCATTTTAAAGATCTACTATTGAGAAAAATTTTTTAAAATTTGGCTCCACTTTAGTGTCCTACTAAACCTTTTAGGCATAAAATTTCAAAACATACTGGTCAAAATGAGGAGAGTATAACATAGTAGTGAGAACGCGGATTCTAATGTCCTACAGAAATGGATCCATATCCTGTGTGATTTTGGCAAAGTAATCCCTGAATGTCAACATTCTTATCTGTAAAATCGGCATAGTAGCACCTCCCTCTTGACATGGGGTGAGGGTTAAACATGATCCCCTGTGTAAAATGCCAGCACAGTGCCTCGCCACCACCAATGCTTAGCAAGGTCCCCATGCTACCATCATTCATTCAGAGTGAGTTCCAGATTCGTCTGCAATGGCCAATGCCACCTAAAATTACCTAGTAAGCATCAGAAGATAGCCAGTATGATATTTGCAACTCTAAAAATATAAAGAGACAAATGCTCTTTAGCAGGGAAATAGAAATTTGATTCTGAAAATAAATGCAATGCATCTCTCTGATCAAATCACATTTCTGCCTCTGGAGTTAATACGTCTTATAATTATTTTATTATTTTTTCACAGAGATCTTGTTTCCAAAGAGAATCAAGTTAGCCTTTTGTTATGAACACAACCAGAGTTTGCACTAATGCCATAGTATGTTTTTTTCATTTTTAAAATTCAAAAAAGTCCTTATTAAATCGACTTTAAATACCATAAAAGTATTTCTTGAAATTCATCCATAGTTCTGCCATCCCAATAGAACTGTTTTTATTGATTCTTTGTGTTATGTCAAAGCTTTAAAGAAAAATAAGCAAATTATTTTTAAATTACAAAACCAAAATGCATTTATTGTGGAGAAAATTTGAAAAATACAAAAAAAGTATAAAGAAGAAAATAAAGATAGCAGGTAGTTCAAGCATCAAGTTATTATCGACATAAACAATTTGGTATATTTTCTACCAAAATTTTCTTCTAATTAATATTTTGGTGCATCATATTCTATATAGTGTTCTAAGTTTGTTTTTTTTAACTTAGTCACTAAATGTTTCTCAAACAGTTTTTAACAGTTCTATAACATTTTATCACATGAGGGTTTGGCAAACTATGGCGTATTGACCTATGGTCAAATCTGGTCCTGTTTTTAAAACAGAGTTTATTGGAACAGAGCTACATTCATTCATATGTGTATCATCTGAAGCTGCTTTCACCCTGGAACGGCTGAGTTGAATGGTGGCAACAAAGACCATATGGCCGGCAAAACCAAAAATATTTACTATTTGGTCCTTTACAGGAAAAGTTTTTCAACCCCTAGTCTAGATGTACAAGAATGTGCTTCAGTATTCCCATTATTGGATATTCCATTTTAATTTTTTTTAATTATTTTAATTTTATTTTTTTATTTTTTTATTTTTTATTTTTTTTAATTTTATTATGTTATGTTAGTCACCATACAATACATCATTAGTTTTTGATGTGGTGATCCACGATCCATTGTTTTCGTATAACACCCAGTGCTCCATGCAGTACATGCCCTCCTTAATACCCATCACTGGGCTAACCAATCCCCCCTCCCCGCTGCCCTCTAAAACCCTGTTTGTCTCTCAGAGTCCATAGTCTCTCATGGTTCATC